TTTAATTACATAATAAATAAAATTAAAGTTAATTTTTATTTTTATATATATTAATAATAAAATATATATAATAAATGTAATTACAAGTTATATTTTAAAAAGATGTGTTAAAAAATTTCTTTTTAATTTATAAAAATTACAATTCACATGCAAGTATGCATAAATCTCTTTCCACTAATTTCAAGAAATTTAATAAAATGACTCAAATTCTTATTTACTAAAGTCATTAAAATGTCAAGTGTCTAGTTAAAAAACTTTACGCTGAAATTCCGCAATTTTAAAATTGTGGGTTGGACTTTGGCAAACAATGAATTTCTGTAAAATGTTTTATTTTTATATTTTTTGCAACATGTTTAGGTTAAGATGTCTCTACTATATATAATAGTATATATTAGTTTTGATTTTAAAAAATTATAGTTTTAATCTTAAATTATGTAATTTTATTTAATTAAAATTTAATTTAAAAATTAAAAATTTATTTTATTAAATATTAATTTTTATATTTAGAAACTAAAAACCCAATTTAAAATTTAAAAATTCATCTTATTAAATATTGATGCATAAAATTAAAAATTAATTATATTATAATATATGATTAATTTCTAAATTTAGATATTTACATTTAGTAAAATAAATTTTAAATTAAATTTTAATTAAATAAAAAGATATCATTTAAAATTGAGACTTCAATTTTTTTTAGAGTTAAGATTAATATGTAATTATATATATAAATTTCTTAACTATTGAATATAAATTCAATAAACTTTTTATTTCATTAAATAATTATTTAGTGAGGTTATTATTATATACTAAACAGTTAATATCATATATTTTTAATATAATTATTTATTATACTATTATATTATATTTTTTCTCAAAATTTTTATTTTTTATGTTTTATAAATTAAAAAATATAACAATTAATTAAAATAATAAAAATATAATATTAATAATTAAAAATATAACAATATCATCACTCATATATAGTTATTCCCTTGATTAAAAAAAAACCGTTACCTAGTCCTTTCTATTTCATTCAAACAGAGATAGATTCATTAATTGCAAATGTTCATTCTTCCCAAGCGTGGAACATGCATGGAAAAATAAGTTCAAGTTTGACTTCATATGTTTTCTTCTTCTTTTTTTTTTTTTTTTTGAGGCAAAAGGAAAATGACTTCATACTTAATGCAACAGAACCTAACAACCACTCATTCGGTGCCAACAACAATATAAATTTCGTGATTGTCAATACTTGTAAAGAGGAATTGCCGTTACAAGACATTAAATACATTAAGATAAAGTCAATATATAAACAATTTATATCAATGGATGTTAAAATAATAAAATGTCATTGATATCATTAATTACATAGTTTTTGTAATAGAATTATATATATTCTTAATTATTATTATTATTATTATTATTTTATTTTTATATATTTTTAGTTATAAGTCTGGAATTTGATTCATACTGCCAATGAATTGTAAAAAAATAAAATGTTATTGACGTTTGATTGTATAAACTGAAAGTATCGGGTGCATCTTCTCACTCAACATATCAAGTTTGGTAATTTAGTTTGCACTAGCAAATGCCAAGGGTGAGATCATGTGTAAACTTTGATGTGAGGAATCACTCACTTCACCACTTAAAATGATGAAGTGAAGCAATCAAAGGTGCCATCGTTTCAAAATTTATGAAGCACTCTACTTTAAAAAGTGGTCTCAAAATGATTGAAGTGAAGTGAAGTGATAAAAGCGCTCTAATGTTGAAGCAATCACTTATTTAAAAATGATACAAAATGACAAAAAAGTATAGAAGTATTAAGGGTTTAAATTGGAATTTTGACTCCATTTAGGGCAAAAATAGGAAGCTTTGTGCCTATTGACTACCTCTTCCCCAAATTTTCTTTATGATTCCATTGTCTTTCGACTTCATCATCTTCTTAAGTCCTGACTTCATCAATTCATCTACCATTTATAGGAAAGTCCTTTCTTGTTTCTTTTTTTTTTTTCTTTTTTTCTTTTTTTCTAATTTGTATACTCTCCTTCCCATCTCTTCTTTTTCCCTGACTTCACCCTCCTCCCTAACTTTTTGACATATTCTCTTCTTTCTTTCTTTCTTTTTTTTTTTTTTTATCAGCAAATTATCTTAATTTAGTTAAAACAAAGTTTCATGTAAATATTATCAAAATTCTCTAATATTGTCTTAATTCTATGCATTTCCTCTTTGATCCCTCCTTTATCTTTCATTTAAATTTCTTGTCAATAAACTTATATTATTTGGATCTATCTAGTCTAGGGAACCTTAATTACAAAACTTAATATCATCTGCATAGCATAAATTGAAATAGTCAACTTTTCACTTAATAAGATTCCTAAATTTTAATTCCAAAAAGAAAAAAAAAATAGTTCTACTTGCACCAAGTAGAATTTAATTTAAATATGTTACTTGCACCATATTCTACTTTTTCACCCTTAATACTCTTAGGTTTCTATTCTAATTAGTTCTATTCAGTTAATAATTAATCGCTTCAAAGTGTTTCTCACCTCATTTCCAAAACGCTTCATCGTTTCAGCATTTTTAAGTCATTAACAACACTGGTACGGAGTAGACGGTGGTTGTATATAGGTGAACTTTCATTTTTGAAATTTTATATTATTAGAAATAAAGTTTTACGTATTATAATCTTCAACTTGTCTTTAAATCAAATTAGATAAGGATATTAAATATTAGTCTCATCAATGCACAAATTAACTAAAAACCTAATTTATCATTTATAAGACTGAGTTATCTTTCACTTGTGGATACCATGGGAGTCGTTGATTTTATGTATAAAACAACGGCTGAGTCGAAAAACTAATGTTAAAAATTAGTTCTTGACCTTTCGGGGGGATCAAACAATGTGGCTCACATTCCACCAAAAAAAAAAAAAAAAAAATAAAACCATGAGCCTCGGAGTTTCAGCCTGTGGGTGGAAGTTTGGTACCACCATAACTTGCTCTAATTGTTTGACATGTGACATATGTCATATTCGATGCATCAGACAAGTTTCCATGACTTCAATGCATGTGATACTAGGCAGACTATTATTTTTATTATTTTATTTTTTTTACTAATTTTTATAATATAAAAAATATATTGAATTTCAATTAATTTAAAATTAAATTACATCAAACTTTACAAATAAATTTTTTTTTAAATTTATATTTTTATTTATAAAATTTAAACTTAAAATTTTATATAAATTTTATTCTTTTAATTTAGGCCAACAAATTATTAATTAAATTAATAATGAATTTTTAAAAAAAAAACTTAAGATAAATCTCATTATTGATCTAACAACTCTTTTACTAAGACCCTTTTTTATTATTTTATAAGTAAGGAGAAGAGAATGTAAATGGCTAACAAGAGAAAGAACGAAAATAAAAAAAAAAAAAGATAAAAAGGCCGGTCCTTTCTAAAAATCACATCTTTTTCATTATTAATAAAAGTACTAGTAACATTCAAGCAAGAAAATATTAGCAAAATTAAATAAAAGTTTTTAATTAAAATTATGATTAAAGATTTCTATTTACAATATTAAAAGGTTTTCTTT